TAGTTATTGGAGAAGCTGACTTTGAAGTCTTACTATTTTATATAAAAAAAATCAAGCACATTCCAAGCCATTGATAAGGCATGTTCAAATGATTCCAAGGTAAATGAAATACTAGGCAAAAAGTGAAGTAAGAAATATATATGTTGGCATTGTAGGGCCACTTTTTTTTTAAGAGAATACCTTAAATATGATCAGAAGCCAGCTAATACCTGGTTTGCATGATCAAGCACTGCCTCATTGGCATAAAGGTTTTACTCATCATGAGGCACTCTTAATGGGCAAACAACTGAAATGCCCGTCACCATAGTCGGGTGAAATCACCAGACAATGGCCATGCTGCATTCAACCACCTACTGGTAGCACTGGCTAAGGCCAGTCGTGTCTGGCAACTCATTCATTTAGTTGTGTAGACAACATCACAAGCACTATTGGCAGACTTTGCCTAGTATGGCACAGACTACCAGACAGTCAAGCACTTAATTTGGATGTGTTACAAATACTAAGATTTTTAAAAAATTATTTTTATGTATAATCATACCCTCCTACCACTGAAGTGACTTATACAATCAGTCCCCTTTTATCTGTGGGATATGAATGATAGAACAGTTATTTATATAGTATCTTAAATGGTATGCCATTTTAAAGGAAATAAATAGAAATGTCTACACTGATAATCTGACCCAAAACTAAGTTGTGTAAGACCTTAATGACTGACATGCAGTTACTATGTCATATTATCTTTAATGATTATAATAAAGATCAAAAGAATGCAAGGTAAAAATTAGCTTCGGTATCATATGACAACATAATGGCTTAGATATGACAGAGGAATTAAGTCAATTATTCTAAACATCTCCCTGTTTGTATATGCTTAAAAGAAATCTAATTGAATGACATCAGTCAGCTGTCAGTATTATTAATGATTTATTTATGTGTGTGTGTATATTTGATATGTATATGCATTTATGTATGTAACAAGTTTCTGTGTTGCAAATATAATGTAATGTAATGTTTGCATGCACATATAATGACACTGATATTGCTAATCAATGTTGTTTAAATTTTAGAGAATGCTGCTACACCATATGCTGCCACTATCATCATCAATGACATGCACTACAGCACAGGTTATGGTAGTAGCAAGAAGCAAGCAAAAACAGAGGCAGCTAAAGCAACACTCGAAATCCTTCTTCCCGAGTTGGGGGAAAAGATACGGGAGGAATCAAACACCAAGGGAGACGCAGATTTGTCTGTAAGTTCCATTCCTGTGTAAATTTGTGAGGATTGTTTAAGGTTCAGGGTTGCTTCCATATGGACATTAAGTTGATATATTAGATTAGATAGGAAAGTGTGCCTTTGACGTATTTTGTTTTACTGCAGAAATGTCATTGTGAAACATTTTTTCTTCTTTCTTTCTTTTTTCCTTTCTCTCTCTCTTTCTTTCAAGTTATTTTTGTTCATCATATGTTTTCTCCTTCCAGTTCTTTGATGAAATTCGCATAGAAGACCCAAGGGTACCAGAGCTCTGCAATAAAACAAGTGAACTTTCACCCTATTCCATTTTACTCAATTGTCTTCAGAGAAACTTTGGTCTTAATGGTGCCAATATTGAATCCAGATTAGTCACGCAGAAGAATCAGAAGAATGAGTTTGTGATGACCGTTGGAAAACACACCGTGCAGGTCCAGTGCAAGAACAAGAAGGATGGGAAACAGAGAGCCTCACAAGCTATCCTTCAGGTATGCTTTATTTCCTTATGAAAAATTGAGCTGCTTTTGTTGGACTGTGTCTGTGTCTGCTGTCTCTGATATTAGGGAAACAGAGGAGTGGTTGAAATATTTATTTTCCTCTCCAAATTAGTGTACCACATTCTTTTCAGTTTTGAAATGGGAGAAAAACATACTGTAAGTTTATAATTTTTATTTAATGTTAGGATCAAGATAACCCTCAACCTTCCATTACTGAATCAGGTTGGCTGACTTGTCCAATATAATTCCACAGAAACTCCACCCACATATCAGCAGCTGGGGCTCTTTACTAAGGTTATATGGTAACCGGTCAATGCAAACTATGAGAGAGAAAAAGGCAGAGGAGCAAGAGATCACCTTACTGCAGTCAAATGCCACTGTGAACCAGCCAAACACCTCCATCATAAACAAGCTAAAACTTGAGATGCTCAAACTGCAGGAAATGAAGGTAAGGCAGTCTCTCTCAAAACCACATGGATAATATGTATGTGAAAATAATTCTCCATGCATTTTCTAGGATATATTTTAACTTTATCCTTTTTGTTTTGTTTTTGTTTCCAGAATTCCATTCAACCGATTGGAAGATTCCTCCCTCCTGAAGATGTTGCACTTCCCTCTGCTTCAGGAATTGATCTTAATAATGTTGATCTATAAAGTGAATAATTAATCTTTCTTTTTTATGATGTGAATGTGAGGGTAATTATTTGAGCTGTCTCCAAGATATGAATGTATGTTCCAGGTTTTTTTTATTAAACTTTTTATCAATGATATTTAAAAAAAGAAATGTGATATTAACACAAGGTGCCCACCCTTATGCTGTGATGAACAAGACCATAAAATTGCCTGTGATATACAAGTGCATGAAGTCCCAAGTTTGTTTTACAGGTAGCTTATCTATTTTTTATCACAGATGCCAGTGATTTCTGTACTTAATAGAGCAGCTGACTCATACTGTTAAATCAGATAACAGATCTCACTTTCATGTTTTTAACCATTTTTGGAGTTGTGCAGAAATATAACTGAAGAGATTTGGAAAACAACGTTCCAGTTACATGCAGTCTTTCACTTTTTCCATATCATGCTATTATGATATTTGTTCTCCATGCACATCATTTGCCCCGTGTTTTCAGTTTAGAATAAAGAAAATGCTTTAAAAGAGACCAAATCAATCAATAAAAGAAGTAATTA